AAAAGGGAAGGGCGTGCTGAGCGGACTTCGCGACGAAGCGTGATAGTGACGTCAGCATGCCGTTCATGATCTGGATCGACTTCTTCGACGTTGGAGTCGGGAGGTCGTCGAATGCTCGACACTTGTCGGGGTTGGCTTCAATCCCTCGTTCTGTTAGATAGAATCCGAGGAATTTTCCTGCCTTGACCCCAAACGTGCACTTCTCGGGGTTGAACCTCATTTTGCACTGTCTTGCTTGGGCGAAGACTGTTTTGAGATGAGTTGCATGGTCGGTATCCGCTCGAGATTTGACGATCATGTCGTCCATATATACCTCGAGCATGTCGCCAATTTGTTTGTTGAACACTTTGTTCATCATGCGTTGGTAAGTCGCACCGGCGTTCTTCAGTCCGAAGGGCATTACGTTGTAGTAATAGTTGCCCGAGCTGGTCATGAACGCCGTGCAGCGTTTGTCGCCCGGAGCCATTGGGATTTGATTGTATCCCGAGTAGGCGTCCATGAACGACAAAGTCTTGTAGCTGGCCGAGTTGTCGACCAGCATATCAATGTTTGGTAGAGGAAAAGCATCCTTCGGGCAAGCCCGATTGAGGTCGGTATAATCAACACACATTCTCCATTTTCCATTATTCTTTTTAACAAGTACAACATTTGACAGCCAGGTGGAGTACCGGGCTTCAGAAATAAAATTCGCCTCTAGGAGGTCTTTTACAGCTTTTTCAGCAGCCTCCGTTTTTTCTGGAGACTGCCTACGCCTACGTTGTACTACAGCCTTGGCGGCTGGATCAATGGCGAGGTGATGACAGGCGACCTCAGGGTCGAGTCCGGGCATCTCTGCAGCGCTCCAGGCGAAGAGATCAGCATTCTCGCGCAGACAGGCCTTGATTTGCTTCCTGGCCAAGTCGGGGAGGTCCTTGCCAATCTTCACTCCCTTGGTCGGGTCTGCTCCGAGGGGAACGAGTTCGAAATCGCCGTCCGGAATAGGTCGGAGGGGGATTTGCTTGCTGCTGGCCGGCTCGTCTTGGTCGAAGCGGGCGTCGAGGGCTATGGAGTCGACCTTTGGTGGAGCCTTCTGAACTTCTACCTCGGGAGATGCTCTGTCGGGCTCCTGCTTTGTCTTCTTGATGGGCCTTGTGCTGGTACCCACGTCGACAGTATCCCGGCCCCTTGAAGCGGCGTTGAAGCACCTGTGGGCAGCAACGAGGTCGCCCTGGATGGTGGCTACCCTTGCCCTTTTGGTATAGAACTTCATTTTTAGATGGACAGTTGAGGGAACCGCTGTTAGCTCCGCCAATGTCGGCCTCCCCAAGATGCAATTGTATAGGGAAGGGCAGTCAATGACGAGGAAGCGGACCTTCACCTGTCTTGTAGCAGTTCCTTCCCCGAACGTCACGAGGAGCTCGACATATCCCCAAGGTTTGGAAGTCGAGCCGTTGAAGCCTTGAAGGTCCGAACCTATATACGGAGACAGATGTGAGTCGTCCAGTTGTAAGGTCCGGAACAGCTGGGTGTACATCACGTCGACGGAACTCCCTTCGTCGACCAGGATGCGATGCACGTCAAAATTGGCCATCTTTGCCCTTATCAGCAAGGGGATGACTGCGTTCGGTGCTCCGCCGGGGAGCTCTTCCAAGTAGAAGGTGATAGGCTCTGATCTGCCCCTCACCATTTCGAAAGTCACAGTTTGTGGAGGAGCTTTGTCGACCAGTTCGTCCAACTTCCTCTTGGCCGAGTTGATGGTGAGGTCGTTGAACCCGCCCCCGTTGATGACCATGGCGGAGGGGAAGTATTCCCACCTGCTGTGTGTCGTCAGGGGCTCCTGCAGGAGCTCGGGAAGTTCGAAATCCTCGGGCCTGGTTACCGAGAAGGCGGTCTGGATTGGCACCGACTCGTCAGATGGTCGGGCATCTTCTTCGGGCTCCTTTGCCTCGCGGGCGTCACGGCGGGGAGCGTCGTTTCGCCTGTACTGTGCCAGCCTCCCTCCTTTGATGAGGGTTTCAATGGCGTCCTTCAGGTGGATGCAGTCCTCTGTCAAGTGACCATGACTCCTATGGTACTGACAGTATTTGTTTTTGTCTACTCCTGGCTTGGCAGGAGCTGGTCGGGGACGCTTGACGCCACCGTCTTTAAAATCTGTGCTTGCACACTCCGCCAGAATACGCTCGCGGGAAGCCGTGAGCGGAGTGTACTCAGTAAACCGGCCCGAGGGGCCCCTTTGTTCCCGGACCTCCCGGGGTCTGTCTTCCTTCCTCTTTTCTCCGGTCCGTCGGGGAGGAGGGTCTTGTCTCGAGCTGCTGCCATGATTGCGAGCCCTGGAGTCTCGTGCCCTGTTGGCAGCTTCTCTCTCCTCGTAGTCCATGTATGCTCGGGCTTTGTCGAGGAGAGCATCAAAAGTTGCAGGTGGCTCAATACCCACAGCTTTTCTGAATTCTGTGCCGGGGAGGAGGCCCCTCTCCAGCAAGTACCTTTTCATATGGTCCGCGCAGGGGACCTGTATTGCTTCCCGGTTGAAGCGGTTGATGAATTCCCTCAAGGTCTCATCATGTCTTTGGATGATGGCCTCGAGGGCTGCCTCAGTCTTCGGGTGGCGACGGGAAGCTGTGAAGGAACTGATGAATTGGTTCTTCAGGTTCCGCCACGAGGTTATGGAGCCCGGGGCGAGTCCTTTGTACCAGTCCATGGCCGCCTTCCTGAGAGTTGTTGGGAAGAGACGGCACTTGATGGGCCCCCCGACATTGTGATAGTGGAGCATGGCTTCGAACCCGTCAATGTGGTCGACTGGGTCTGCCACTCCATCATACTCCTTTAGGTGTGGGGGCTTCTCCATGCCCGGGGGAATAGGTGCGTCCATGATGGCCTGCGACAGGGGACCGCGGGGGTCGTCCTCGTCGCTCCTTTCTGGAGAAAGAGAAGGGGTCCTGTAGTTATGCCGGGCACGATGGTCGTGCTGAGATTCCCTCGAGCGTGATGCTCGGTGGTTGAAGGTCACACGCCCGTCTCTGTTGTGTCTCCTGTCGTGCCTCGATGGGTCGCGACTGGGCTCTTCGGCAGGGATGACGGGCTGTCTTTCATACTGGGGCCGCCTCTGCCTTGGTGGGGGAGAGGGGCTCCTAGAGTTCTCCCTGTTATGTCTCCGCGGGGGAGTAGGGTGTCGAACTTCTTCGACCCGAGGAGGTGGAGATGGTGGCCTCTGATGCCTCCTCGGGGGTCGTCGGTCATTTTCAAGTGCCCTAAGTCTTTCTCCTTGGGCGAATAGGAGGTAGTTTGTCTGGTTGATGGCCGCGAACAGTGCCTGAGTCGTGGCATCTGCCCCGGCAGGAACTGGGACTTCATGGAACCGGGCAGCTCTGCGGTAGGCGAGGGCTTCCGGGTCGTCTTCGAGTCTTGGAGGAGTTGTCGAGGAAGACGCAGTGTTCCCGTCCCTGCGGGTGGAAGGTCCAGGGGCGGTTGTCACAGGGATGGCATTGTGGCCGGCATCACTGGGATTGTCCAGGTGTCCATTCTTGTCCGCGGGACCGTTGTTGGTGTCGGTGACGCGGGTGTGCTGTTCTTCACGAGCTGGATCAGCCATGACAGGTAATTGGATTGAGCTTTGGTCTTTGAAATTGTTCGTTAGACGGGGAAGCTGTTTCCCACAGACGGCGCCACTGATCTGACCTGATCAGAAGGTTTGGACCGTCACGGCTTGCTCCGAGCTGAAGGCTTTTTGAACGAGGAGGGGGGGGGGGTACCTGCAAGGCACTCCGATGCTAAAGTCAGTGGGAGTACGAGCAGATAATAGAGTTGAGGTTAGAATGATCAATACCTGACCCTCTGGAAACAGAGGGTATTTATAGCCCCCAGCGCTGGGTCAAGGTTCCTTCATTGGGCCGGGCGGATTTGGCCCAATGGAGGAACTGCCAGGTTCTACGTGGGTAGTGGGGACCAGCACGTGGTCCCCTTCCTGAATGTGCTGCGTGAAGTGCGGGCGGACGGAGACGCGGTCTTTCCGGAGTATCGTTGGGGCAACGGTGGACTGAGTCTGCCCTAGCCAGGTAGCTCGAGACCATGTCGAGCTGCGCAGCACGGTGCCGAGCTCGACGCCAAGACCTCGAGCTGAACAGCGAGTGTCGAGCTGGACGTCAGGACATAGAGCCGGACGGCAGGGGTGTCGAGCATGACTTCACCGCGTGGGGCTGGACATCGAGATGTCGAGGTGGACATTAGGGTGTCGGGCATGGACGCGATCCCCTTTGCCCAGTGTGGTCCTTAGTGAGTCCCTTTGGACTGGGCCTTAGTAATGCTTTTGGGCATGTCGGGCCCAGTCCAGAACAAGTCTCCTCGTTAATTTTATTTAAAAAGTTAAAATTTATTTTGTTGGATTTTTTATGGTTGAGTTGAATTTATTTTTATTTTTATATTAATTTAAATATTAAAAATAAAAAAAATGAAATTTTGTTGAAATGTGACATAAATTTTTTAGATTTATAATTTAATTTATTTTTAATTTTATTATTTAAATTATTTTTAGTTTGAATCTATTTAACAAAATGCTAGCTGTAATTACTTTCTTTTTCTCTTGTTCTTCATCTTTCTCTCTTTCTTCATCTTTCTCTTGCAAATTGTGAATGTACTACAATAAGTATTTTCAGATTTCTTTCTTTCTCTTTTTTTTTTTTTTTATCAAGCGATTTTCTTATCAAGCTTAGTAGATATGTAGATTTGTAGATCTGGATCCAAAAAAATAATTCAGTTTTGCTAATTTTCTGTTGATCTTTCAGATCTGATGGAGATAAAGAAGATTCTTCAAGACAAAAGGTGAGGGGGTTCTTGTTCTTGATTTAGGATTCTTGATTTGGGTGATTTGTGATACTTTACTAGAATAGAGAAGAAAGATGAGAGGATTCTTGTTCTTGATTTAGGGTCTTTAACAAGTATTTATGATAAGTGACGATTATGTAATTTTTTTTGTTTTCTCAGGACATGAGAATTGTTCTATTATTTAAAAGGAGGACAAGTTGATTATGGTGAAGAATATAGCAAGGAGTGAGGACACTCGCAGTTTGGAAGAAACTATGAACAAGGTTTGGACATTTTTGAATATTAGAGCATGGGTTGGAAATATGAGATATGTAATAGGATTTGGAAATGTTTATAGTGGTGAGATAAAAGAAGGCAATAAAGTTGCAGTTCAGATGCTTTATGCATCTTCAACTCAGGCCCGACGAGATTTCAAACTGAGGTTAACCGTCTACACCATGGATGCAAATCACCTATGGCACACATCAAAGACAAATAAAGATGCATTCCTTTCTAGTTTTGATCAATACTGGAGTGTTAAATTTCATATAATTATTTGTTTTATTATGTTATGTAAAAGAATTTTGAATTGTTATACTTTTACATATTATGAAAAGAGAAGAATTGTTATACTTGTTACATATTATTAACCTTGATTTATTTATTTTGAGAATGTTTTGGTGTTGATATAAATGTAACGAAGGAATTTGATTTTGTGCATGATTTGTATTAATTTTGTGCAAGAAATATGCAAAATATTAATAATATGCAAATAATAATAATGCAAACAATAATAATAATAATAATAATAATAATAATAATAATAATAATAATAATAATAATAATAATAATAATAATGCAAATAATAATAATAATAATAATAAAATTAGTAATGCAAATAATAATAATAATAATAATAATAATAACAATAATAATAATAATAATAATAATAATAATAATAATATTAATAATAATAATAATAATAATAATAATAATGCAAATAATAATAATAATAATGCAAATAATAATAATAATAATAATAATAATAATAATAATAATAATAATAATAATAATAATAATAATAATAATAATATTGAGAAGCTTATGCATACGCCAACCAGTCAGATGATGTCATTCTTAGTGAGCAAAATGATATTGAGAAGGAAATCCTTGAGTTTTTATGGGAATCTTGTTGGAACAACTGCGAATATAATAAAAAAAATTGACATTAAGGTTATGCGAAAAGGACCTCAACTGTACCTAATCATTGTGGTCAGCTTACTGCCACTGTTACAAAAAATGAGGTTTAGAGGCTCTTAAAGGTATCCATGACATTACAGCTTCGGGCATAGACAAATTTGGTTAAAATTTTTTCAAGAATGCCTGACACATTATCCGGAAAGATATTATGAATGTTGTTTGGGAGTTCTTTGAAAAGGGGGAGATGCTTAAAGATGTCAATAACCATGGTTACTCTTATCCCGAAAAACAACTATGCTATTATGGTTAAGGATTATAGGCCTATCTCGTGCTGCACTACCCTCTACAAAAATTATTTCTAAAGTGATAGCTGCCAGATTGGAAAAGTGCTCAGTAGTATCATCAATGTAAGCCAAGCTGCTTTTGTGCCAGGCCAACACATCCACGATCACATTCTGCTTGCCCATGAGCTCTTGAAAGGTTACAGCACTAAAGGTGGCACCCTTAGATGTATGCTTCAAATGGATTTGCATAAGGCCTACGACCTGTTGATTGGGGGCTTTGGAGGATATTCTTAGATAGATGAGCTTCCATTCCAAGTTCATTAATTGGATTATGCTGACTGTCTCTTCAGTTACCTACATGTATAACGTGAACAATAACATTTCTGATTTGTTGGTTGCTAAGCGTGGCTTGAGACAAGGGACCCCTTGTCCCTCCTCTTGTTTGTGATCGTCATGGAGTACCTTCATAGGGTCATGGCCAGTTTAAGTAATAACTCTGAGTTTAAGTTCCATTCTAGATGTAAATCTTTGCGTATTGTGGAAATCTGTTTTGCTAACGACCTCTTACTTTCTCCAGAGGTGATGTTAATTCTGTGAAGACCATGTTAGCAACCTTTGATAAATCTTTATTTCAACTGTCTTGTTGTGAACCCTTCTAAATGCACTGCCTATTTTGGTAACGTGGATGATGTCTATTAAACAGAACATATTCCAGGTCACTTCTTTTACTGAAGGCCCCTTGCCGTTTAGGTATTTGGGTATTCCTCACGAGTAAGAAGATTTACAACCATCATTGTCTGATTTTGGTAGAAAAAATTGTTAGCAGGGTTAAGCACTGGAGCACTAAGTTGTTAAGTTTTGCTGGCAGAGCTCAGCTGATTAAAAGTGTTCTTTTGCTATCACTAATTTTTGGATGCAGTGTATGCCCATTTCGAAGTTAGTTTTAAATAAAGTGAATGCTATTTTGAGAAATTTTCTTTGGACAAGGAAGGAGTTTATCTCTAGGAAATCTCCTATTTCCTGGGATAAAGTTTGTAAACCTAAAATTCGTGGGGGCCTTAATATCATCAATCTCAAGTTGTGGAATCAGGTTAGCATGTGCATGTTACTTTGGAACTTATGTGGTAGGCAGACCGACTCTGGATTAGGTGGGTACACAACTACTATTTGAAGGAGTCTACTATAATGGAAGTAAATATCAAACAAAGATGCTCCTGGATCATGTGAACAATTTTGAAGTGCAGAGGACTTATCTCTCAATCTCAGACCTGGGAGAATTTGATTCATAGTAATATGTTTAAAGCTAGAGAGATATACTTGGAGCTCTGCATTAGTGATCAAAAGGTCGAGTGGAGGAATCTGTTCATTGGTAAACTATGCTAGACCTCATACAGTGCATTGTATTTGGAGGGCTTGTCACAACAGTCTGCCTACCAAAGAGAGGTTGGCAAGATTTGGCATGCTTAGCAGTATGAAGTGCCATTTTGCAGGAAAACTGAGTCACTTCAACACCTTTTCTTTGAGTGTGACGTTATGAGGGATATTTGGATTGAGGTTCTCAATTGATACAGAATGTTCATAGTCCCAAGGGCTGGGTTGATGAACTTAATTGGATGCTTGAGCATTGTAAGAGGAAAGGTTGGAAAACCAACTTGTAAAAGTGTGCTTTTTCTGAAACTATATATGAAGCTTGAAACTTCAGGAATTATATCTTTTACTGTGAATGCAGGAAATAGGAATTGTAATATAGGCAATGGCATAGTGAATTGTATTCTTTATAGATGTTGGACTCATCCTAAACTTAGGCAACACATAAGAAAGCTTTTGATGCCTTAGGTATAGAGTGCATGTTGGCTTTTGTTTTATTTGTTTTTGCTGGATCACTTTTTATCGCTTGAGCTGTTTTGTTTTTGAATCTATCTTTAAAAGTTCTCCTTTTGATAATAATAATAATAATAATAATAATAATAATAATAATGATAATAATAATATTAATAATAATAATGATAATAATAATAATGATAATAATAATAATAATAATAATAATAATAATGATAATAATAATAATGATAATAATAATAATAATAATAATAATAATAATAATAATAATAATAATAATAATAATAATAATAATAATAATAATAATAATAATAATAATAATAATAATAATAATAATAATAATAATAATAATAATAATAATAATAATAATAATAATAATAATATAATAATAATAATAATAATAATAATAATAATAATAATATAATAATAATAATAATAATAATAATAATAATAATAATAATAATAATATAATAATAATAATAATAATAATAATAATAATAATAATAATAATAATAATAATAATAATAATAATAATAATATAATTAATAATAATAATAATAATAATAATAATAATAATAATAATAATAATATAATAATAATAATAATAATAATAATAATAATAATAATAATAAAAATAATAATAATAATAATAATAATAATAATAATAATAATAATAATAATAATAATAATAATAATAATAATAATAATAATAATAATAATAATAATAATAATAATAATAATAATAATA